CTTTCTTTCTTCTCTCTCTCTCTCTCTCTCTCTCTATATATATATATATATATATAAGTGCTTGTACTGACTCTTGCACGATGGTTTGCGAGTGACCGCATTACGCCGTTTCTCTTTCTTTCTTTCAAGTTTTTATAGCCAGGAAGCAGCCGATATTCCTGTTCGACACCATTGGGGCTACGCTGGGCTTGTCATTGTGGTTTGTTGACCCTCGTTTGGTGTGTTGTTCGTCAAGGCGCAGGGCCAGAAGCACAGAAGGCGACGTTTTGATGTACGAATGCGCGTCACCGGCGTTTTCTTCTGTGTTCCTCTTCGAGCGTTGTCCAGCACCCACGTACAACTCAAAAAACAAAAAAAAAACAAAAGAAAGATCGCGTCGTTGGACTCTATAAAAATTCTGCCCGGCGAATTGTGTAGTTATCGCTGTTTCTTCTCCAAGTCTCTTCCTTTACCAGCCGACAGCTTTGTCGGGTGTTTGTGTGAGTGCACGTGGCTTCGTACGCTTCACGCAAAATGAGAAGGCGGAAGAGGAAAGAATGCAGATCCGGTAAGCTTAAGTTCTTCCGTTTCCTGTGCGCTGTCGGGGCTTCACCCGGAAGGAGCAAATTTGGGCGTCGTCGGTGCTTCGCCTCCTGCTGTGCATCTTTTGTGTATTTTCTCTCTCTTTGTTTTGTTTTTCTCTTTCTTTCGTCTTCTCCAGCTGTGCGTCGAGGATCATCGCGGTTGTCGACGTTGCGGGACTAACTTGTGGTTTCCACTAGAAAAGGGTCTCCTACACACGCATACGCGAATATGTCATTGCGCTTTATGGCTGTACATCGTTTTTCACCGTAAATAGTCAAGATGGAGTTTGAACGTGCACCAGGGCGGCAAGCACCTCGCATACCACCGTCAACGGCTGCTGCCCCCTCTCTTTCCAATCGAGTTTCTTCGTCTTCCGGTGCTTCTACGGTTCAACATATCACCGGCCCCATAGTGGACGGTGCTTACGTGGAAGAAGGTATGCGGACAACGCAGCTTCGCGATTCCTCGATTGTAGTGGAAGAACAACTTCGGCAGCGGTGGGGCACACTGACACAGCGTGAGGAACAGCTCAAAGCAGCGGAGCGGTCCTTCGCCCAATCCGTGGCGGCGTGGGAGACGCAGCGACGTCTGTGGGAGGTGGACCTTGCAGAGAGGTTGGCAGCTGTAGAGGCGCGTGAGGCGCACCTTGGCAGCGCATGATCAAACACAGATCTTTGATGAGCTGCTAAAAAGAGAAAAAACCTCTATCACGGTTCATTCTACTCGCGGAATAGTGGGAACCGTCGATGAGACAACGGTGATAAGAAGTCCGGCTTGGCCACGTCGCGAGTGTATGGAGGTACTACTGCTGTTGCTTTCCACTCGTTGCTGTACCCCTATAGTTCTTCTGCTCTTCCACAGGTGGAAGTGTTGTACTGTTAGGGAGGGTCTCGATGAGGAAAAGCTGGCGCCTTTTGTATTCCCTCGAATGCCTTCTTTTTTTTTTGTAGGTGTCGTCGTAAGCCAATAGGGCTTCTTGTTGTCTTCTTTGGTTTTGGATTTTGCTCGTGCTTTGGTGTTGTCCCTGCTACCGTGCCGTGGCCGCTATGCAAACTCGATATAACGATTCTTCTTCTTCTACGCACAACACCACAAGTTCGGCGAAGGCGTTCGAAGTAACCTTCATGCAACGCGCCGGGTTGGTGCCCAAAGCAGCTGTGCTGCTTTTCCTCAACGTTCGTAAACAAACAAACGAAAAAGTGCGTCTTTTTTTTGACGTCTCCCACCACCCTCTCCTTGCGCCTCGCTTTCTCTTCCTGTTGCCGTCGCCTCCGCTTCCCACTACACGTATCTTCTGTGGCACCGCCACGGAATGCTTCTGCGTTTCTTTTTTATTTTTCTACGTTGATCAGACATTCAGATTGCAGCCAATTGCCTTCTCAGCCCCCTCTTTGTGCTTCCCTCTTCTTCACACACGAAGCCTCCTTAAGGAGGGCTGCTGGTCCAGGAGGCAGTGCTGCACGACCGCAGACTAACGACACCCAAATAGAACGAATAATACAACGAATGCACGTGAGACGGAAAAGTATGAAAGTTGCGTGTGTGAGAGGTGCGAAGAGCAGCAAAGGTGGTTGATCGTCTACGCGCCGCAGCCTTTTTCTCTTCCGTTTTCTGTTGGTGCGTATGGAGCTGCGCATGAGTCGCGGTAGAAATCTCCGTTTCTTGGTGGATCGTGCGGTGTGCTCGCTTCGCTTTTACGATGCAGCGGCTGCGAGTACGACGATTGATGCCTTGGGACAGCTGAGCGTCTGCGGGCTTCACGCGCCGGAGCTGCTGCGCGAGTTAGCGCCGTCTCTCCCGTACTACACACCCACCCAGCTCACGACGCTCATGCAGGGTCTTTCGCTGCTGCGCGTGTCGCATCACATGATGACGGCCTATGTGCTCAAGCTCTTTCTTACCTCCCTGAAACAGAAGAGCCACATGCAAGTTGGTGATGTGCAAACACACGTGCCGTCGTCGGCGTTGTATCAGAGCGAGGTGGCGGCGATGGCTGCCATGACACGTGTGCTTCAGCAGTACCACACGCAGCGGACCATTCGCGCCTTTTTGGCAGCGGCAGACCGGGCATTGCGGACAGGAAGAGGATTGGCGTCTGATGAGCGTGCCGACGTGAGGGCAGCCTCTGCGAAGCTGAAAAACGGAGTTCGTGGGGACCTGAATTGCGTGCGGCTGCCACCTCACTCCGCTTCCTCTACCTTGTGTAGTCCTCACGATCGCGAGACAGCCCTGCAGCTCCTCTACCTTCTCGAGGTGTTTATCAACGCGGGCGTGTGCGTGGCGGCGCCGCACACCCCGCATTGGCTGCGGCGCATGCTGGTGCACGTCCCGCCGAGTTGCTTTACGCTGCGTGAGCTTCTGCACGTGCACACTCGATTGTTTTCAACGGACGGTGGCCATACGGCGTCTGCACAGGACAAGGCTGGCGGCAACCTTCGCTGCCTTCACCGAACACAGTGTATTCACATTGCCAGCGCCGTCGTGCGTTCCAAACGGGAGGCGGCGACGTTCGCGCAGCACTGCGAAGCACAGATGAATGATGCCCCGTACGTACAGCACCTTTCTTGCGAGGACCAGCGGTTTATGGAGAGCTTCTACGTCCAGCTTTCTGAGACGGAGCGATACGCCGTGCTGCGGTGCGCTGTGCATTGTAAACTGGGTGGGAAGGAAGAGCGTGTTCACGGTGATGCTGCAACGCAACTGCAGTCCGTTGCCGGTGCGTCAGAGTATGCCTTCGCGGCGACGTGGCACGCCTTCTGCACCGCCGACGCCTTTTATCGTCTGACACGTGATTTATGCGGAGAACCCTGCACGCAGTCGTGGCGTTGGTGGTTGAGGCTGCTGGAGGGTCACATGACGTGTCAAGGCGCGGCGTCCGCCGTGTCAGTGAGAGGGTGTTCCGCACCGACTGCCACGCAGGACGCGGTGTTGCTGTCCATTGCACTTGTACAGCTACTGCACGCCCAATACACGCAAGACCTGACCGTTGGCGGCAGCTTTGATGCCCCCTGCTCGCTGCCGCGTTCAACACCACTGGAGGCAACCACTCGTTTCGGGACACCGGCCGCTGACTCGGTTCACGCTGCGGTGCGGCTGCTGTGCAACCTTCTTCCCCTGTGCTGCGCCGCTACTTCTCCCTGTCCTCCTTCGCTGTCTTCTCAAGCGGTGGAGGCGGCAACGTGGGAGCTGTTGTCTCTTCTTTTGGCAGTCGGCGCCGCATCGCACGAAGAGGGGGAGGACCTCTCTTTTCGAAATTGGTTAAAAAGGCGGCAGCAACAGTGTTCGCAGTACGCTGACCATGACGGTCCAACAGAAACGCTGCCGCTGTGGGATCGCTTCAGCCAAGTGCACACCAGTACACTTTCCTGTCTCATGCTGTGGTGGTTCCAGTACTGGAGACACGATGAAGGCATCCCGTCAAATAGCGGCCGCCTCACCAGTCGGTGCCCTCTCCATTCCGCTGAGAAGCTGTTCTACCTGCATTGGCGCATTGCAGAGCGCGCAGACCATGATCTCTGTCGAGCGAGCTGTGGCGGTGAGGGAAGAGAAGGAAGCATTTGTCCTCCTTTATGGGACTCAGACGAAGACTCCCTTCGGCTGGTGTGGCAGGCGTTGATTTCGGCCACGGTGGCGAGTCTTTCACATGTGCATTCGCTCTATCAGAGAGGCCACGAACAAGGCGGTGACTCCGACGCTCGCGCTTCGTCCTACCCCTCCAGTTGCGTGATCGACCTCCTCTGTGTGCTTTCAGAAGGCATGCGACGGAGACAGGCTTCCACGAAGCGTTTCACATCTTCGCTGCTCGACGTGATGTGCCAATCGTCGCTGCCCGGTGTGTGTTGCGACGTTGTGGAGCTCCTCACGACTGACGTAAACATGGGTAGCTCGCAGGTGCACGGTGTCGCACCACGTCCCCGTCTCCATGTATTCAAAAGGATGCAGCTAGAGCTGAATCCAGTTCAGCAGTGGCGTCGGTGTGAGTGGTGGGGGCCCACCACGACACGTGACGGCTCATCGCCTGATATGATGAACGTGCTGCAGCAGCTTCTCCGCGGTGCGTTTTGCGGAGACCCCACACCCACTTTTGCGGGTACTGGCAGTGACCACACATCCACGTGCCGCGTGTGGCGGTGGCTGTATCGTCTTCTACTCGTGTATCTTCAGCAGCACTCGACGTGCCTTTCCGGTCATCGTCTCTTGGGTTCTTCCGCTGCGAGAGCATGCGACCAGGCGGAGGAGAGGATTTGCCCAGCGGTGTACCAAGCGTGTCTCAGCTCTCTGTCGCTTCAGTCGGTGGACGGCGTAGAACGCACCTCACACTGCGGCTCTGCCTTCCAGCTGACCCACCCGACCTCCCTTGCACCCACGTTCCCCGTTTTTGCAGCGCCCGTTCAGTCGGGCTCGTTCTCGCATTATGCGCAATTGGCGAGCACGATGATGTGCAACATCGAGAGCTTCTGGAGCTGGAGCGACGACGTGTTCATGAACGACACATTGCGTGATCTGTGCAACGGGCCCGCACCGCCAACCCTTTCCTCCTCCGACGTCTCCTCCGCGGGAGCATGGCTATGGCGGCAGAGGCGTTGGTACCGTGATGATCGCATCATCCACCTTGCTGGAGTAAGTAGAAAAACCCAACAGGCGGCAACTACGGGTGACGATGCCGCGCGGCTAGCGGGCGGTGTGAGGGTGGGTTTCGAGGACGGCGCTGCCCGTGCAGAACGAGTTGGGTCTGGCGACGGCGCCGTGGAGGACGGCCAACCATGGCGAGATCAAGAGCTACTCGTTGAGCTTGTTGGACACGTGAGGATGACCACTGGAGCAGCTTTACTACTCAACGGCTGTGACAAATGGGGAAGCCCTTCTGATTTAACAGACGCAGTTTTGCCGGAAAGCAACTGTGCGTGTGAGGCTTTTCCGCGCACTGCGTCTCCACTTCTCCGCCATACGTTTATGGACGGCGTGCTGGCGCAGCTTCAAGCCTTCTTTTGGACGTATTGCCGGGACGTGTTGATCGTGTGCTCTTCGCAGATCAGAGAAGCAACACCAGGCATTAGCTGCATCGCGTGGGTGCGCAATGCAGAGTTAGCAGTGCTGCATGGTGTCCTCGAATGGAGGCAAGCGGAGCGGAAGTATCCTTTTCGTCGTGGACTCGTGGAGGGCGGTGACGGCGCTGCTTTCTCTTCTCTCAGTGACAACCGCGAACGCCTATCCACCGATGCAGAACACCGAGCGTGCTTGATGCTGCTGCCTCTACTGTGGCATGCACTTCACGCGCCTCACGGAACACGTACAGGACAGAGTAGCGATGCCGACGATTTGCCTGCTGACCTCAAAAGTGCTGCGGTGCGGAGAGCCGTGCTGGACGTGTGGCGCCTGCGAGTCTTCGCAGACGAGTGGTGTCGCCACCTCCCTCTCACTGGCGCGCACGCGCCTGCTCACACGCGTCTTATGACGTGTCTGCGGGCATCTCTTTCCTCCCCCAGAGACGGCCATAACGAAGCGGCTGACTCGGTGTTACGGCGAGCGGTGGCGGAGTTGGAGGCGACGGTGAAAGGCCACGACTGGCTGGACAACACGGCGTCTCCAGCGAGTCGCCCTTTCCACTTTTTAATCGATATGCTGGACAGTATTTGCCGAATGGCACCACAGAAAGAACCTCCCAAGTGTACATTCGCATCTGCCGAGGAGAACGGTCAGCTTGGCTCAGAAAGGTACGGGACGACAGCGGGGAGCGTCCCCCACTCATTGGACGGCCTGTCCCCCATGGAGATGTACCTGAAATGCATCCTTCCGCTCCACCCTTTCCTCAGCAGCTCGTGTGGTTTTCTGGGAGAGGTGCGCCGTGTGTCAGAGCGGCGACTGGTGGTGGTCACGTGGGTGCACGTACTGGTTGTGCAGAGCCTTTCCACGCAGCACCCTCGACTCTACGCAGGAAGCTGTGAATTGACTTCCACGGAGGGCGGTGACCACAACGGAAGTGAGTCGTCCTGCGCCGCTTGTGTGCACGATTCACTGGCGACACTCGCTGCTTTAGAGCAGAAGCTTCTGAGCGTGGGCGTGGGCGTGGGTATGTCAGCGTCAGCCTGCCGCGAGCCTGTTGACAAGCGGTGCTGCCTTTTGTGCTTATGTTTGGTGCGTGAGCTGCAGGCGGCTTTAACCGCGCTGCGCATCTTAGTTTCAGACCCTCCAGAACACCATCCGTCACGGTTGAATGCGGCTCCTCTGTGTAAAAAAAACTTTAATGCGGTTCAATAGCCAGAGATGATGGATTAGATACCGCTTTTTGCTTTGTTTTTTTCTCTTCTGCTCACCCCCCCCCCCCCACCTCTCCCTCTCCCCCCCTTATCTCCTTTGTTGTTGTACTCTTTGCTGAAGGGCGACGCTGCTAGCTACGGATGTAGCACCATTAAAACGGATGCATCAGACCCAAAAGATAACAAACGTGAAGGCGAAAGAGAACTCAAAATAAACCAAATTGTACAAAGGAAAAGATTGGACTTGCTGTTTGTTCGCTGAACGCGTCTCGCTGCACTGTCAAACATGCAGCGCGCTGTATGCGCCTTTATTCCTTCTGTTTGTTTTCTCCGCATCTCTTTGCTTCACCTCCCAAACGCTATTATTCTGCTCTCTCTCTCTCTCAACTTATACGTTCTGCACACACGCTGATACGCTGTGTCACCCATAACGTGTAAAAGCGGAACCAAAGAGCCGCGAAAGAAACGAAGTTGACACGGTTTCCTTTTCTCTTCTTACAGACCCCTTTTTTTTATCACTGCCCCAAGGTGACAGGGAAGGGGCGGCGAAGTAGGAGTAGGTGTATTTGTGCAAAGGAGACTTTCACTTTGCAGTCGCTCACGTTTGTGCTGTGAAGTTTGAATACATAGAGGCGCTGTTGACCTCTGGATTTGACGTACAGAAGACTGTATTGTTTATTTACTTAAAGCAAGCAAGCCTTGTCGCGGTGGCTTTCATTGCTATTTGAAGGCATAAAAGGCTTCATCTCTCGCAACTTTTGAACCATATCACTGCAGGTTGCGATATTCTGTACGTTGCCGAACCGTTAGATTTTTCTCACTCTTTTTCTCCTACCTCTGGGAATTAAACTGAACAACACAATCGCAAGTTGTTTTCTTTTCTTTTGCTATTTGTGTGTGTGTGTGTGTGTGTGATTGTCTTCTTGTGCGTGCGTGCGCGGTTCACCATCATCGTTGACTATCTTCACTTTTGTTTGTCGACGATCATCACGCATCTTCGTTTTCGGAGAGCTTTGACTCTTCCAGCGTTGCGAACTCTGCACGGCGGTACGTCATTTCCCTGCCCAAATATCGTCCTCAGCTGCACGTACTATTTGTTTTCTTTTCTCTCCCTTGCTGTCCCTAAGAGGAGAATTAGGCAACATCCTTTTCTTTTAATGTATTTCATGTTAATTTGCCTCTTGCCCAGTATTAAGAAAAACCGATTAATTAGATACACGTTAACGTTTGTCATTATACATATATCATTAATCTCTTGTCAGTTTTTTTTTCTTCCTTGTCTTCTTCCTTTCTTAGCTCTACCTTAGATTCAGTGTAATGGGCAACCCAAAGAAGGCCACGAGTAAGTCCGGTGCCGGATCTTCCAGGGACTCCTCACTGAGAAGTAGAAGACGGCGTTTCTCTAGCAGCTCCGATCTGTGGCCGGAGGTGGCACCTGAGGAAATGAGTCGACGTGGCAGGCAACTCCGGAAGAGCCTCTCTACCTCTCGAGATCAGCTTCTGTACTTGCAAGCTCTTTTCCCCTACGCCGCGTATGACGAGCTGATGTCGGTGATCACCAAGACGGACGGGCCGGATGAGGCGGCCGAGCACGCCTACGAGGCCTTCAACCCCGACTACACCGGCTACCTCTATTTGAAGGAGCAGACGGATGTGATGGGCAACACCAAATCGACTAAGGCGCAGCGGGCAACGGCGTTTAGTGGTCTGAAGGAGTCGCTGGAGGAGCGCGCCGCCGATGCGCTCCGTGCTGGCGCCTTCGGCAACTTGTCTCAGCTGCAGGAGTACCACGAGACGGTCGGGCTCTTTGCCATTGACACGACGGAGTGGGATCGGGCCATGCTGCTGCCGGCGCGTAGTTTGGCCGAGATGGCTTTCATGGACCTGCCCCTGCGAGATGAGCCGTCGTCGTCGTCAGCGTCGTCTTGTAGCGATCACGCGGACGCGAGGACAGACCACGAACAGCACGCGAAACCACGATTGCTCTCTCTGGCGCTGGATGAGAGCAACAGCCGCTTCATGGATTCGAGCTTTGTGCGACAGCGCACCGGCAGCTGCGACACGGCGGTGTTGTCCCCGGAGCAGCCGCGCGAAAAGCGTGGCGGCAAGCCACGAGACGGCTGCAGAACGCCAATTGCGAGTGCCGCCACACCTGAGTCGGGGCAGAGGTGCCAGGCTCCACAGGAGCAGGAAGAAACCGGCATGCTGTATTTGCAGGACAGCGACCCAGTGTGCAAAGCGCCGATCATTGCGTGGGCTCCTGAGGCGATTCGAGTTGGACCGGCAGAGGCACTCCGGCAGCAGGAAGGTGCGCTGCGCGTGTTTGACGAGGCGACCTTCTTCACGGACCCCCTTCTCGCACATAAGGGCTTTTCCACGCCGCTCCAGACACCCCTGAAGAGGGTTACGTTTTCTCCCAGCAAAGCCGCCGCTGCGACAGCGCACGGCGCCGACGCACACCGGAGCAAGGCGGCAGCAGAAGCAGCAGATGTGCCGCCGCTGCTGGCTGTATCGCCGAATGTGTCACCGCGGACGGCGGCAGAGCGGCATGAGCCGGTGGACAGCGCCAGCGATTCCTTGCCGTTCATCGGGGACGATGAAGAAGAGGAAGAGGACGTTGAATGCGAAGTCGAGGAGAGCGCGGGAAGTGAGGTCTTTGAGAGAGCTGATGGGAGGCGGAAGGCGGAAAAGAATTGTGTAGCGGGCAACGGTCGCCGCGGACGCGTCGAAAAGCGCACACCGCCGCCGCCGCTGCTGGAGCTGCGCGACGTCACATCGAATGCTGTCTTCTCTGAATTCAGCAGAAAGACAGAAGACGGTGACGTGCGAGGGTCTGCGGTGGAGCACCAACCAGATTGCACCGCGACAAGTCACAGCGACGTCTCGATGCGCTTGGCGCGGCAAGTGAGTCTGCGCGAAACAACGGTGGAAACACTGAAGACACGCAAACGCCGCCCGCTCACCTCCTCCGAGAAGATTAAGCAGCGAATGCGCACGCTCAAGCCGGTCGGCAATTTGGTCTTCCGCGAAAACCCCGAATCTTCGCCGACCGTCGCGACCGCTGAAAACGTGTTTGGTGAAGATGATGGTCGACACACACCGGCTGCTTCGCACTCTACTCGCATGACGGCGACCACGCTGGAGAACGCGCTATACACGGAGGGGGACATTTACGCGGACCGTCCCCGCAACGAAGGAGCCCCGCCCGTTCCTGGGAGCGGCTCGCAGGTACTTGGGTCCGCCGCCGCCGACGCCGCCACGGCAACCGCGGCAGCCGGGCCGTCGAGCTCTTCCCCCGGTGAACACCGAGATCGCGTTTACGGACAAGTCGTCACGATCCCTGCGGCGCATGCCGGCTGCTCCAGCCTCGACCCGGCCGCCTATTTGAACTCGGAAGAGGAGCGGTGGAGCGGCATTGTGGAGGTGCTAAAACCGTTTGAGGAGGTCTTTGGGTCCAAGTTCCGCTGCGAGCTCGTGCGGTGCGTGCACGACGACTGCCCTGTCATTCGCCCCTGCCTGACCGAGTTATTGCAGCGGCTGTTGCACGTAGTGGGCATGGCGGTTCTCGGCGTGAGGGTGGCAGAGGGCTTTGCAGAGGAGCCGATGGACCTGCCCCTCTTCGGCTCCATTCTCCTCTCCACCTCGCCGGTGAAGCTACACGAGCTCGTCTTTCGGGAGGAGAAGTGCAAGTTGATTTTCTGCGATGAGGGCACCCGACTGCAGGTGAAGCTGAACGTGAAGAAGGTGAAGCTGGAACCGATTCAGTTCGCCTACATCGACGAGGCCGCCGCCGCCCGGCAAAACCGCGAAGCGGAGCAGGCGCGCCGCAAGATGCCGCAGCCCCGGTCCAACGCGGCGGCCTGGACACTGCGGCACAACACCCAGGAAAAGTACGAACACGGCGTCACACGCGGCACCGCGACCATCAGCGCCGCAAATGTGAAGCTGAAGGGGATTGTGTACGTTTGGTTGACGGCGTCCGGCAAGGTGCATGTGGCCTTTCAAGAGGCGAAGGTGTCCGTTGGCTCCTTTCACGTGTCGACGGACGTGTCGAAGCTAAACTTTCTCTTCACTGTCGGTTCCCCCTTGTTGAGGCTGTTTGTCGAGCGCGTGCTGCTGGACGCCGTGAAGGGTATGCACACGTTTTGAGGCCGTCGATTCTGTGTTTGTAGGTTCATCTCTCTCTCTCTCCTATTCCGCACTCGGTGCTGTATCGCCATAGCCACGAGCAGCATATTACTCGTTTAACGGAGAACAAAAACAACAATAAAGAAAAGGGTAGTAGTGGGCAGTACTGTACGATGCAGAGCTGTGCACAGCACGTCCATCACAACACCTCACCCCTGCCCTGTCAAAGATTCCGTCTTCTGCGATGCCAAACACATCATGTGAAGGGCCACTGCGTCTTTGTCGAATGGGCTGCGTTGGGGTCGGCAGAGGAAGAGGTAGTCGAGGCTTTGGGGCACATCTCCGGTGGTCGCCATTCCGACCCCCTTCTTTCTTTCCTTCTCCTCCTTTTCTATCAATCCCCACATCTTCCCCTTCTGCTACCTTCTCAACAATCCGACGTTGTCCTTGGCGTACAGCGCACTTCCACTTCCTTTTGCCCTTACCGCCCCCCTTTTTTGTGGTTATTTTGGGTTTCCTGCCTCGCCGTAGTGGTGAATGCGTGCGTGCGTGTGGGAGTGCTCAGGCTTAAAAAAAAAAAGAAGCTCCATTGCGAGCGTCGTGCACCGGCCAAGACGACGAAAAGGGAAAAGACAAAGTTGCCGAGTCGATCTGCTCGCTCTCTCCTGTCTTGTATCTACTGAACGAGTCCGGCGCGCAGTGATTGGCTTTCGCCTTTTTGCCAATACCGCCCCCCCCCCCTCCCCCACATACTTCTGCCGCACACACCACGTGATAATCTCGCCTTGCCGTAGAGGTTCAGCGAAGAAGTGCGAATAGGAGGAACTCGAGCCCTCTCAAAATCCGTCTACGTTGCCTGTTTCCAAATATAACATCCAAAAGGTGCTGCTTTGTTGCGTTGAAATCGACAAATCGGTGAATCCCCGTTCATTCAAAGAAGCTCTTCTCCTTTTTTTGTGTGTGTTCGTTTATCAAAAGCCTCTAACTATATCACTCGTTTAATATATTAGCTTTTCTCTAGCTTCTCATCTTATTATACTCCTTTTTGTTAATATCTTTCTTCCTCCTCCACTTTTCTTCCTCCTCCATTTACATTGACGTATATTAGGAGTTGCGTCTCCTCACGTATTCTTTCACAGTATATATATATTTATCTGGCTCAGTATCCTTGTGATCGCCGCATCTTCTTTGTATTGCTGTCTCGTGCAGCGCTTCGCTTCTCATCCTCCTTTTTTTTCTTCAGTGAAGGTGTTTTTGCTGTGTGCGTTTTAATCTCACTACTCGTAATACGACGTCTTGATTTGCTAGTTCTAATATTGAAGTCCACCGTTGTGTCTGTTGGCGCTGCGGGGAGCTCTCTGTCGGCGGTCGCCTCACCCTTTCGACGAAGTACCACTTCCCCGTTGTTTCCTTTGCTTTCTGATCTTGAGGGAGTGAGGCTACGCAACGACAAGTATCCTCTTTTTCTTTCTTTCGCTTTCTTCATCCTTTTCTTCTTTTTGCGCTACTCACTCTCTTGCTTGTGTGTCTTCGTCCCGTAATTTATTGAAACAGGATTCTCCTTTTCGGCGCTGCAGCGTAGTTCACGTTTCTATCTGTATCTCATATCTTTGTTTGTGCTCCTTGTGATACCTTTTAAAGTTTATTTGCCAATTTTTCCTCTTTCTCTCCCTCGCGCGCGCTCTCTGCGTACACATTGGTGGCCTCTCCAATCCAAACTCTCACACTTGCGTTCTATTCTTTTCAATCTTTTTTTTTTGTTTTAGCTGGTTGATTGCATGCCTCTGGACAGGAACGTCCGTTCAACTGTCAGGCAGCACCCCTCCCCCTCCTCTCGTTGATCTCGACCTTCACCTACGCTTTCCCTCACCGCCTTTCTTCCTTCCTTTTCCTTTTGCACAACGTCTGTGAACTTGTGCCTGCTGCTCTTTTCCACCCTCCCCTTCTCAGGATCATTTTCCCTTTATACTTCGAGATTATGGTACCTCGGCGGCGGTGTTATCGCAAAGAGAAAACGAATCTTCTTTCCAACCCCCTTTTTTTGGTTTTTGATACTCTCCTTTTTTATCTTTATTCGGCCTCAACATACTTCGTGCACAAGGCATTGCTGTCAGGAGAGAACGATTAGAAATACGAATAAATGGGTATCAACATCGAAACCCGTGAAATATATTTCTTTACCTCAAGGCGTTCATTTTTGCTGGTTTCCTGCTGAACCTGTTAGGAAACAGAGACGCACGGGCGAAGCGCTGGGTAAAGAAAAAGGAAGCTCCTGTTTTCTACGCCTTCCCGCCCTCACCGGTCGTGTTCCTTGTTACCAGGGGCGTCTTGCCGTTGATAATCTCCAAAAAGAAAGAAGGCGACGCACGAGTCGTTTTCGCTGAGTTTGTTCTTCCCTATTTTGCGTTATCTCTCGTTTAACGGCAACGTCAACAGATAGATAAACTTTTTTTGTGCATTTTCTTTCTCTTATACACAGCAGGGCTAATACCTTTCTGTCTGTGTAGTGGTGGCAATTCACTCTTCAATTCTTGTGTTTTTTCTCGTGTGCGTGTGTCGCTTTGTATGTGTTCCTTTTTAAAGCAAAACTTTTTTTTCTCTGACTGGGTCGTCCACTGTGGTGCGCCTTGTTTTTTTTTTTGTTACTCTCTCTCTCTTTCTCACACAGACGGATTTCTCCGCCACCGCTTTTTGTTGTTCTTCTTCTTGACTGCTGCGTGTGCATGCGACTTGTCTCGACATGAAGGCCGACTCTCCTGAGCCCTCCGCCGTCGCCCAGCTCCGCAGCGTGGGGCGGGCAAACTCGCTCGTCCCACGCTTCATTCCCGTCGGTGGCGGCATTTCCCCTGTGCACGTCTCCGCAACTCCCTTTTCGCTCCACGGTGGCGTCGCCGCTGCTGCCGCGACAGCAACTAACCTGCACGAACCGATTCGGCGCATCAGCATGCACATACCTCCCGTGGAAAAGCAGGAGGAATGGGTGTTGATGCGCAAAGCGCGTACGGCGCCGGACAACGAGTGCTGCGGCTCCTCACAAGCTTCCTCCGCGACGGCGCAGGTGCGCAGCAGCAGCAGCAGCAGCAGCAGTGTCGAGCAGCCCGACACGCACCAAGCGAAGCCGATGCCGACCATGACGAGCGCGGCGACCGAGCTGCTCTTCAGCAGCTTCAGTGGCGACTCAACGGACAGCAGCGCCACTTCGTTGTCGGACCGCCGTTTCAGCATGGTTTCTTCGCTGGATGGCACGGTCACCATCTCTCACCAGGGTGCCGGGGAAGTGCGGAGGTCGAGCCCGGACAGGTTGGGCGGTGATCCCAATATGTCTCCGCTGACGGATCAAATGCCGCCGAAGGCAGGGAGCCCTACACGTGTCGTGCGTACCAATTGTGCGACCACGCCGCTGCCACCGCTGCCCTCTTCCGCGTTGTCGAGAGCTCCTACAGCGCTGGTAACTCCACCACCCGCACAGAGCAATGCGATGTTAGCACCAGGCAAGAGCGCCTCGAGGTTGGGAGAGAGATTGCCGTTGAGAGGTTATGGCGATGTGCGCTCACCGCACGAGACGCACTGGTGGCGGCCGGAAAAGGATGGGCTCGACGACGGCCCATCGACGCCTGCAGAGACGGAGGTGTACCGTGGCAAGCGTGTCGGTCGCGGCTTTAATCGCAGGATCAGCATCAGGGCCATGAACTCTGGCGAACTGCTTCCCTCTCACGTCTTGCTGGGGGCTCCGAGTGGGCTGACGTCGAGGGCGAGCGACTCGACCTGCAATGTTTCCTCGACCTGCTTGTCGGGTGGCCACCCTTCCTCGGTGGAGCGGAGTCGACGGAGTGCGATTTCGTTTCTCAACAACGTCGCCGTCGCGGACGAAGATGCGTCGACGGCTGCCGAATTGCACCACCTCTGCGACACCCCGCACCATCAAGGTATCGCCCAGCCCCAGCCGCCGTCGCTGGTGGATGCGTCGTTCTCTACCCTCCCTTCCACCACCTTCTTCAAGCGGGGCGGAGTCACGCACTTAATTTAGAGGAAGTACGACACATTCTCCTCCCGTCTGTTTCATTTTTGTTTTTCCTTGTATGTGCGCTTCGTCTCTCCTTGCTTCATCCCGTGGACGCAAACCGCTTTATGGGAGTAAATAGGTGTTGATATTAGACTCGTTTATCTTTGTGCTTTTCCACACATCTTCTTTTTTTTTTGGATGTGTACGCTCTTTAAAAAGAAAAGGCTGTTTCTCAATTTTAGTTCCTCTCCTTTCCATTTCTTTTTTTTTCTTTCCTGCCACTCCAAATATCTGCTGACTCTTTCTCCCCCGCCGTAAATCTCTTCTACTCGCGTTCGTGTGTGTGGCGCAGGTTGCGTTGTTTTCGAATCTTTTTGTTGTTGTTGTGGTCGTACTTGTCACCGCGTTTGTTCTGCCCATTTCTGTGCATTGCAGCAAGGCTGGCGGCGCCGAGGAACATAAGAGCATACCAGTCAAGAACGTTGGGCTGATCAATATCTCGCGTGATGTGGGAAGAGCTGTCACAGTGGAGGTAAGCGTAAAAAGTTAGACAGCGAGTCGTTGCAGGTTTACTTGGGTTATCTGCCTTGTCGTAAACACTGTTTTTTGTTCAACTTTGCGTAAGCGCGTTGGGTTCGTTCAAATGTGATCGAAGCGCATCTCTTGATTTTCTTTTTCATTTTCGATCGCTTTCTTAAATTTTTTCTTGTACGTTTTGTTCTGCGCTTTCCGTTATGCTTTCCGCAGCTGCGAAGGCGGCATCTCTTTTATTGGTTTGAATGACACCGATGTGGACGCCGCGACGGGACGGGTCCGCGTGTCTTTCTTCTTCTCGTGACTGATTTTCCATGTGTGACTCCTGTGTGAGCAACTTCCTAGCTCCTTCTACTGCTTGTTTGTTGTTTGCTTGCTTGGTAGTCACTTACATCGGTGCTGAGTCACTTTGGTTTTGTTTTTGCTCTCCTTTTCCACAAATTCAACGCTGTAAGCTGAAATTGCAAGGAAGCGAATCCTCTTCTCTTTTTGCACCACCTGTCTCCTCCCCGACAGCACTCTTTGCCTATTTGTGTTCGTTCTGTTTCGCTTCCTTGAAGATACATAATCGTCACTTACGGCGGGGTATTTCAACTGCCACACTTTTTTTTTCATCTTCTCTCTTTCTTTTTTTGTATGAAGTTCGCTTTCTTCCACCTCCGCACCGGGGAGGGTCGTTTGCACAGTGTGTGTGAGTGTGTGTGTGTTTTCTCCTTTCACAACTCCGTATCGATGACTGCACGCTTTACTCAATTCCACATCCCAGACCTTCGGCAGAAAGAAAAGCCTCCCAAAAAAAGCCCCCTTTTTCATCATTGTCTTCTGCATTTTCTCTGCTGCCTTTATCGCGCGTATCGCCTGCAGAGAAGGAAAGCAAAAAAAAAAAAGAAAAGAAAGAGAAGCAGCGAAAACGGCAAACATACACAATACATCCGAATCATAAACACTGCAGCGCAGGGATCTACGGGAAAAACGTAGGCCTCATGGGCATCTCCAAAACAACCTGGATAAGTCACGACCGTGGCGCGCTTTTGCAGCTATTTGTCTTTACGGTACAGATAAGGTTCATCAACACGAACAGCTTCGTGCACTTCTATAAGACTTTCTTCCACCGGGGCGCGTTTGTGTATCTCCAGCGGTGCTCGCATGCTTTTTCGTTTTTTGTGTTTGTCTTCAAGTGTCTACTCCCTTCACGCGCCTCTGCGCCTCTACCTTTCTCCACATCGTTGGACTTTTCTTTTCTTGTTTTTTTTTTCTGAACTGTGTCTTGCTGCACACCTGAGAAGCATCTGCCTTCATCCTCGTTCGAGTGAAGTACGCACATCCTCACCTCGCGTTGGTTCCGTAGAACGGCGACAAAACACGCGGCATCATGGGCGTCAAAGGACTGTGGAACTACGTGGAGCACCACAACGTTCAGTATGCCTACCCAAACAAGAACGCCCGCGCCACGTGCTACGGCGTCAACCCACGGCACCTCTTCATCGACATGAACGCCGTGCTGCACATGTCCTACGAGCCCACCAAACCCACCACGGCGGCCACCCTGCGCGCTGTGGTGACCCGTGTAGACGAGCTCCTCTTGAGGGTGCGCCCAGAGGACACGCTGGTGCTCGTCTTCGACGGCGTGGCTCCCGTTCTTAAGATAAAGACGCAAAAGGAGCGTCGGCGATCGTTACCCGTCAACGCACCCTGCCCTGCAAGTATATCTTCTAGCCCTGACAAGAGTAACCAGCAGTCCACCACAGCTGCGGCCGCCACCAGCGGCGCGATATCGTCCGCTGCCTACACGAGCGACCTCACGCGGGACGGCGTGCCGCTGCGTCGCGAGGAGATTCTGTGCGGGTCGGAGTTCGTTCTGGCGTGCGAGGAGTACATCACCTCCCACCTGCAACGGCGCAAAGCGCAGCAGCAGCGACAGTACTCGTGGAGGCAGTTGCGTGTGTCGGGCTGCCGCACGGCCGGCGAAGGGGAGGTGAAGATTTCGGGTCTGCTACGGCAGCTTTGGGCAGCCAACGTCGCGGATGGGACCTACAAGCCGGATGACGCGATTACCTTCGTGGGCAACGATTCCGATCTTATTTTGGTGGCGATGGTCGCCACGCCATACTCCTACTTCACCCTCGTCGACCCCTTCGACTACTCGCTCACTTCGCTGCATGAGCTGATGGAACACTGGTCGAACGCGGTGCCGAACCCGCCTCTCTCGTCCGAGCTGCTTCCGTCTTATCGAGTTGATTTTGTCTTCTTGATGCTGCTAGCAGGAAGCGATTATTACGAGGGCATTCGCGCTGACAGCGTCGCACTGTGGCGTCGCTACCGCCACCTTCGCGCGAACGAGGGCTTTTTTCGGCGTGCGCTGCTCTCCGGTCCGCACCTGGACCTCGACCTCGAATTCGTGCGCGCTGTGTTTGCGCGAAACGGGTCGATGCGTGCCCAACTGCTTCGTGTGCCCCGCAATAAGCGCAAGACGGCCAAATCGATTCTGCGCTCCGGCGGCGGTGGGGGCAGCAGCAGCGCAACGGACGGCATTCGACTCCTCTCGGCCGCGCTGTGGAGCTTGAAGAGCTACGTGACGGGGAGCTGCGTGGATTATCGGTTTCGTGTGCCGCAGGAGGGCGGCTGCCCGTCGGTGGGTTCGCTGCGGTCCGCGGCGCAGACACGAGGACTGAGCCGCATGATTGGTGCCGGCGCTCGCAGTGCCGCAGCGGAAGAGGAGGCGAATGCGGAGACACACCCCCTCTTCACCCCGCTGGAGCAGTGTTTGGCGGTGCTCGGTATGCGGGGCCGCTACTCGTTGGAGCTACGCCGCGCCCTCCACACCTGCACCGCGGATGAGGGACATACACTTACCACGAGCTCGTCGATTACGTACATGACGGAGACGGTGCGAAGGATCATGGCGGCGGTGGATGCGTCGCGGCTCACCACGGCGGAGCGTCTGCTGCACACCCCGTCCGCTCTGCGTGCGGAGAGCGTGGAAGGCGGCGGCAGCGAGGAAGGAGCGTTCATGCTGCTCGCGGCGATCCCACCGCGGAAAGCGGCTCAGGCGAGCCCCGCCGTTGCAACCGATGCGAAAGAAGACCACAGCATTGATCCAAGTGAGGGCGACCCGGACGAAGAAAGCGGTGACGGCAGCGCTGCGAGTTAAGATAGTGGTGGTTGTCTTGCTTTTCTTCTTGGCGCTGTTTGAATGCAGCGCACAGTGATTCCACACATGAGAAAAGGCTCTGCGGCTGCCGAATTGCCCTTTTCACAGCGCTCGGCTGTAAGATAATTCATTTCCATAAAGCGGTGCAAGGAAGCAACACGCGTGTGCCGCTAACATCACAGTTCATCAATACGCATCGAAACATGTACCAAGGGGCTATCCGCCTTATACTCATCACTTTTAGCTCGCTTCCTGCTCGTGACGCGTCCAAGAAGAACCCTTGCCACAGGCTTGTTTTATTGAAGTGTGGAGGCGTTGCACCCACGCTTCGTTGTGAAGGTTTGTTTTTGCCACGGTGGGAGGGCAACCGGCGTTTTTTGCTTTCACTGCTCTCAAGCTCTTCTTATCCAACTCTCCTGTTATCTGCGCTCCTTTTTTCTCTTTAATACCGTTGATCGATCTGCTGTTGTCCCTGTCTCACCGACACTTCGGCTATTCGTACTACCATCATCTTGGAAACTATTTGTTTGTTCCCAAGGACATAGCACCTCTATTATCATCCCTCGAGTCATTTCTTGCCATTTCCCGTGCCACTGCCCTGTCTTACTGATCTGTGCTCTGAAGCAGATCCCTTTGCACGCCGTTCGTTCTCGTTCACTGCCCTTGCAGCGGGCGCCCTCTCGTTCTCCCTCTTTTGCTCATTCGCTTCTTCTACCCCAACTCCTTCGTTGAAGAGCCGAAGGGAAAATGCGTCGTGCGGCGTCCTCGTCCTTCCACTGCCTCTCCGCGTCGGCCGGCATCGCTGCCAGTGTCGGTGCGGTAGCGGCACGCCGCAGCTACACCGACATCTTCAACCCCACGCCCGAGCACGCCGCCCTGCGCGACACCATCGCCAAGTTCTCGCGTGACGTGGTTGACAAACACGCGAGGGAGGACGACATCAACGGCCACTTCAACCGCGAACTCTTCAATCAGCTCGCCGATCTCGGTGTGATGGGTGTGACGATCCCGGAGGAGGACCACGGCGCCGGCATGGACGCGGTGGCTGCTGTCATTGTGCACCACGAGCTCTCCAAGTACGATCCGGGCTTCTGTCTCGCTTATTTGACGCATGCGATACTCTTTGTGAACAACTTCTACTTCAGCGCGTCGCCGGAGCAGCGGCAGCGGTGGCTGCCCAAAGTGCTTTCCGGCGAACACGTTGGTGCGATGGGCATGTCGGAGCCGAGTGCGGGCACCGACGTGCTCGGCATGCGCACCACTGCCAAGAAGGACGCGAATGGGGACTACGTGCTGAACGGGAGCAAAATATGGATCACGAACGGCACCGTGGCTGACGTTTTTCTCGTCTACGCCAAGGTGAACGACAAGATCACGTCGTTTGTTGTGGAGCGCGGCACGAAGGGCTTCACGCAGGGGCCGAAGATCGACAAGTGCGGCATGCGCGCATCCCACATGTGTGAGCTGTTTTTCGAGGACGTCGTCGTGCCAAAGGAGAACCTGCTCGGCGCGGAGGGCAAGGGAGTGGTGGGCATGATGCGGAACTTGGAGCTGGAGCGGGTGACTTTGGCGGCCATGTCCGTCGGCATCGCCGAGCGCTCGGTGGAGTTGATGACGAAGTACGCAGCGGAGCGCAAGGCCTTCGGGCAGCCCATCTCGAACTTCGGTCAGATCCAGCGCTACATCGCCGAGGGCTACGCGGACACGGAGGCGGCGAAGGCGCTCGTGTACACCGTGAGCCAGCACGTGCACCCGAACAACAAGAATCGCCTGGGCAGCGACGCGGCGAAGCTTTTTGCCACGCCCGTGGCGAAGAGGGTGGCGGATGCTGCGATCCAGGTAATGGGTGGCATGGGCTACTCACGTGGGATGCCGGTGGAGCGGCTGTGGCGTGATGCGAAACTGCTGGAGATCGGTGGCGGCACGATCGAGGCACACCACAAAAACATCACGAAGGACCTGATCAAGGAGCTGAAGTAGGGCACCGCTACACAAACACTTTTCTTTTTTCTCTCTGTCTGCGATCTTGGCCGTTCAAATTATCCTTTTTTTTTTCGTTATACTCTAAGAACGCCTGAACGGAAGGGAGGCAAATTGGTATTTTTTTTTTTTTACTTGGCGACGCACACACACATGGAAGCGGGGGCGTACACGTCACCGGCGCGTGCGCGCTCTGTGCTGAGGACGTGAAACGTACAAGCAACCACGTATAAATGTACTATGCGCTTTTCCCCATTTAACAATCACATATTGAGCAAGTGGGTTTTTTTTTTTGAGTGATAACGTCGACGGACAGGAAAATGGTCCCCGTCTTTTTTCTCGTGGTTTCCTGTCCGTTTTTCTTTGTTTTCTTTACCACCCCTAACGCTCCTTTTTTTTTCTTAGCACGTTGATCTTTGCTTACATAGAGCGAGTCGGAGCATTTTTTGTGGAGTCGACGTCGGTGAAGCGCAAGGTATTGCAGGGGGCTTGCTGAATGCCCACATGCTGTGTATGCCTTCTGACATACAAACACACCCACACAGAACACATGGAATGGAAAACGGGAAAATGGCGTAAAGCTGAACGGTTGCGTGAAGCCGGCTGCTTACTACTGTGCGTCTTTGAAAGTGTCGTTGCCTTCCTCGGCAGCGCATCTGGACCGCGGCACAGCAACAGCTGTGTTGGTGCACTCGGAGGCCTTTGCTCCCACGACGCACCACACGCGTAGAACTCCTTGTTTGTGAGGAGCTGATGTATCACCACTCCGTCGCACTTGTCCCAACTTTTGCTTGTGTCTCACGTTTCCTTCTCTGACAGAGAACAGCCCCACATTACCGCCAGCTCTCCCGCTCGCCGAACGCGGCCATCGTACGACACACGCACACGAACTCCAAACGCAGACACGCGGATTCGATCTTTTTCCGTTGTTATTGGTGCACGTCCTTCTCCTGTTATACTCAAATTGCTCTCTTTGTACTTCTTGCGTGTTGTGGCTTTCCGTTTAGCTGCGTGATTTCAGCATCATTGCATTTTTGTGCTTCCTTTTTCTTTGTGTAGTGTTTTGCATCATGAACACCGGTGTCTCCACCGTCACGGCCAACTCTCTCCACTTGTCGGGGTCGTTGATGGTCGCGGCGGCCGTCGTGTTGTTCCTCGCCGCCCACGTCAACGACAACTACTCATGGGTGGACCGCTCGTGGTCTATCCTGCCCGTGGTGTACACGTGGATTCAGATCTACTACACCCATCATGAACACGGCGGCACACCCACAAACACGTCCTTCTCGGCAGGAGTATCGCCCATCAGCGCGGCGGCGCTGTACGGTTTCGTCATCACGGTATGGGGCTGCCGGCTGACCTTCAATTTTTTTCGCCGTGGCGGCTACTCTCGCGGCAGCGAGGACTACCGCTGGAACTACGTGCGGACATGGCGTGTCTTTGCGCATCACCCAGCGATCTGGACGCTCTTCAACTTCGCCGCCATCTCTCTCTTTCAGACGTGGCTGCTTTGGGCCATCACGCTGCCGGTGATGCAGTTTTCTGCTGCCCCGGCTACGGCGAAAGAGGTGGTCTTTGCGGCGGTGATGTTAGCGCTGATTGTGCTGGAAGCCGTCTGCGATGAGCAGCAGTGGCGCTTCCACCAAGCAAAAGGCCGCGCGCTTGGGCAGTCGCCGTACTGTTACGGCTTCTGCGTCACGGGCGTCTTCGGCTACAGTCGTCACTTGAACGTGTTCTGCGAGGGCGGCATTTGGGTCATGCTGGCGGTGGCTGCGCAGTGCTGCGGCGCGGGTTCGCTGGCGTCGTGGCAGTGGATCGGGTGTGTCGTGCTGGAGGCTCTCACGCTGTTTTCTACCGCGGTCATTACGGAGAAGCTGTCGGCGGAGAAGTACGCCGGCTACGCGATTTACCAGTCCATCACGCCGATGCTCTTGCCCGCTATCAGTTCCACCACCGATGAGGTGCTCTTTCAGTTGGAATCGAAGAGGATCTGGAAAAGCGATGAGAAGCGGAGTCCACAGAAGTGAGCGCATATGTTCCTCACAAGAGGAAGGGGGGATAGGTGGCGCATTCCGTTTGTTGCTCCTCCATGGCCTTTGGTATGTCGTGACTGTTATACAAGCGGTTCCTTTGTTTCTCTGTTTGAAATGTGCTAACTGCATCACTGCACCCACTCCTGTTCGAAAACGATGAACGGCTGAATTTATTGTGGTATCAAATTTTCCCTCCTTGTTGTTTGAGTTTTCGATTCGACTTGCCTTGATGCTGCGACGTTGTGGGTTCACGCGGCGTCAAGGCGTGCGATTTCCCGCAGAGCTTTCAAGTACCATGCTTTGTTACATACACACGTGAAAGAGCAAAACTGAAGCTGAACTGAAAAAAGAAACATTATACTACTACTCATATTATCAGCAGCAATCATAACACGCTGTTGCTTTCCTCAACCGAAACAACGATGCTTGTACTGGAACGCATGCGTTGTGGGGTTTTGTCGCCCTGCTCAGTAACAAAGTGTAATCCATTAAAGAAAAAAGCTGTCTCCCCTTTCTTCTTTCCTGTTGCACTTGATGTCCTTGCTGCATTCACACCGCGTCATTATTATCAATGGGCTGACTCAACCTTGTACCACTTTTACCTTCGTCTACATTGAAAAGCTCAAAGAGTATCAAAACCCACTATCGTTTAGCAAATCCATTTGTAGTAGGTGTCACTGGCCGTTGTAGCGTCGATTAAAGCAGCGCACCTTCAGCTTTCCACCATGCCATCCAGCGCTGATAACGCCTACGTGGTCCTCCACAACCAGCACCGCATGCCTCAGCTGGGCTTGGGTGTGTGGAAGGCCGCAGGGGGTGATCAGACGTACCAAAACGTGAAGTGCGCACTGGAGGTTGGTTACCGGCTCATCGACACCGCATCCCTTTACGGGAACGAAGCCGACGTGGGACGCGCCGTGCGGGACTGTGGCGTCCCACGCGAGGAGGTGTTCATCACGACCAAGGTGTGGAACTCCGATCACGGCTATCAAAAGACCATTGACGCCTTGGAGCGCAGCCTAGCCGCGCTGGGAGTTGACTACGTGGATCTCTATCTGATTCATTGGCCCGGTCCGCAGGAGTCGTTCTTGGAGACGTGGAAGGCGATGGAGTTCCTCTACGAAAAAGGCAAGGCCCATGCAATTGGGCTGTCGAACTTCGACGCGGATCAAACCCAGGCGGTGCTCGACCACTGCAAAATACGGCCGATGGTGAATCAGGTCGAGGTCCACCCGCTTGCTCAGCAGAAGGCGCTGCGCTCCTTGTGTGCGAAGGCAGGCGTTGTTGTCATGGCGTCTCGCCCGCTGTGCCGTGGGGAGGCTCTGAAGCTGCCGATTCTGCAGGAAATTGCATCCAAGCATCACCACACGGTGGCGCAGGTGTTGCTGCGGTGGAATCTGCAGTCTGGAATGGTGGCGATCCCCAAGTCGAACCACACCGACCGCATTCGCGAAAACTTCCAGATTCACGATTTTGTACTGGATGATGGCGAAATGAAAAAGATTGAGGCGCTGAATGAGGAGAAGCTGTTCGGCAACGACAGCAAAACGTTCTTTCCCCTCGAGTACGGCCCGTGAAGAGACACACATGAGGAGGCCGTCATCATCGAAGAAGGAAGAAAACAGCTGCAGTGCTCTTCACCCACGATTGCGCCGCATCAATGAACGACGCAAAACGCCAACTAAAAGAAAAACACGAACGAGGGGTATGCCCAGAACAGCAAAGTCAGCAAGACGTTTAGTGGATTATTTCGAAAGCGCTCCGTTCATCCGGGGTGACGACAGGCCCGCGCTGGCCGTTTCAAAAGTCTAATCTCTTTTTTCCTTTTCAGCGATATCAAAACGTTTTATTATTATTGTTCTTTTCGTTATTATCGGTACACGTCTACTCTCATTTTATCGTCGTGCTCGTTCCGTAAACATAAGCAAAAGCGCCACGACGAACTCTCGACGGCGTTTGACGTGGCAGCAACTGATCGGCAATTGCTTACACAAGCAGTCGGCAGACAAAATCAACAACAGCAGACAAAGAAAGAAACGAGGCAGCGGTTCGGATTGTAACGCGTCTGAAACGCTTCTAGCGTCATTCGTGGGCGTCGCTCTTCTGCTGCTGGCCTGCGTTGCCGCTCGCGGAAAGCGCAGTCTCCTTCTCCCTTTTGCATGGCGGTGGAGGCTTTTTCCCGCTCGCCTTGGCTGCGCTGCGCGGCGCCAGGTCGCGATGTGTTTCCGCTCCTCCCGTCTTCGCTTCCGGCTCTCGCGCCCGCGCCTGCCGCGGCTCTGGTCTTGCGGTTGGGCGGCCCGCCGGGGCGCGCCGCCGCCCCCTCTGGGGCCTGGGGAGGGCGGGCTTTGCCCAGGCGGGGGGAAGGGGGGGGGGGGAACGAGGGAAAAAATTCGCAGCAACAACGCCGGCAGCGCGCGCGCGGCGGAAGGCCCATCGCAAATCACCATTCTCACCCCCGCGGGGTTTTCCTGTAAGCCATGCCCGGCGGACGTTTCTCGCCTCTTCGATAAGGTGGGAGACGCCGTGGCATTACCAGCGGCGTGGCGCTTTTCTTTCGCGTGTGTTCGTTCATTACAGACAACGTTGCTCACGATGCGGTAGGAAAGCGCAGTCGCCTCTTGGAGAGCGATTTCGCCAACTTCGAAGCTCCCGTGGCGCGTTGTAGGCGGGGGAAAACAAAACAAACAACACAAGAAGGAGACGAGACAGAAAAAGTCCTCTTGTTACACGGCCCACGAAGCGTCCTTGACACAGAGAGGCATGTCCACCTCGACCACCACCGCCTCGCCACACATCACGCAGTCTTGCTGGGCAAGCTCATGCACGTCGCGCACGCCGTCCATCACGTGCGGCGCGATGCCGTCGTCGGCCAAAAACGCCTCCAGCCCGCCCATCGCCTCCAGCCGCGCCACCGCGCACGTCTCGTGCACGACGTGTCCGCAGTTTGGGTACACAAAGTACGGTGTGGTGCTTTGCAGGAGCGGGCGGTGGCACAGCGGGCAGCGCTGACTTGCGGTGATATACCCGAACTGCTGCCGCGTCTGCCGCAGATCCTTCTTGACGGCCTCGGCTGTTTGATAGACTTCGTCCTGCGTCCTGCTGAGCTGCTTCTTCTGGAGCGCGTAGGCGTCAAACGACTCGCAGATGGCTTCGCGAAAGTCGCCGACGACGCTGGCGTCCGCGACGCGGCGAAGAACGTCCTCGGTGCGCAGCACGCCGCCGGACTCCTGCACGACGGCGAGGGCAGCGCCGACGTTGTGGCTGGCAAGGGCGTGCTCCGCTGTGAGCATCCACAGTTGCTTGAGGTCTTCCTGCGGCAGTTTCCCGGTAAGTCCGCGCAGCGTGTCCTCCGCCGCCACAAGCCCCGGCCACGCGTTCGTCTGAACATCCTCGACGTCCTCCTCGCCTTCCTCGCCCAGCCCACCGTCTTCGCCCGTGCTGCGGACGTGTTCCGGCGCGTACAGCGCCGTCGTCACGGCATCGCGGTAGAGGTGCATGTGCTTGTACAGCGCCACCGCAGCGCCGGTGCAGCCGTGCTCCAGGCACACCCGCAGTGCGTAACCAGCGTCAAAGAAAAGGGAGGTGCTGATGAAGTCGTCCAATCGATCGCAGTCCTTCGTTTGGGCTAGCAGGCAGGCAAAGTAATTGTGCACCGCGGCGGCGGCGCAGTCGTAGCGGTGAATGCACTGATCCAGCAGCACCACCACCTGATGCTCACGGTTACCGGGCACCTCGTTCATGGAGACGTCGTACTGCACAAAGGAGGGAATAAGGCGCTCCATCTGCAGCGGCATCACCCGACCGGCGCGCGCCTCTCGCGACAGGACGCGCAGCAGCCCTGTGATCAACGCCACCGGTCGGTGCCGAATGAGGGTGGAGGTAAAGTCGTACCAGGGTCGCAGCTTGGCGGTGGAGCCGTAGCACGTCGACAGCACCTTCACCGCCTCGTCGTACTTGTGCTGCGCAACGTAGGAAGACACGACGTAGCGGGTCTGCTGCATGGCTTTGGCGAAGAGCACCGCACTCTCACGGCGACCCTGCTCTTCTAGGAGGCGGATAATCACCTCGTACACCGACTTCTCTACCAGAAAAGAGCCGCAGCGCTCCACCGTGCGGCTCAGGAACTGGTGTAGCGCCTCTTCCGCGGCGGCGGCCACCACCGTCGACGCTGCAACGCTGCGTGTGACGTGGTCGAGCTTGGCGATCACGAGGAGAATAAACAGCGTCGTCAGCTGCGGTGCCCAATCGTCGAGCGACGCGAGGTGGTCGAGCAAAAAGCAAAAGCGGGCCTCGACAAACGCCGTGCGCACGTTCACGTTGCGGTAGGTTGTGAGGAGCGCGTAGACGTCCTCGAACCAGTCACACTTCGCAAACTGTGCGATGGCGTGGCGTGTTGCCCCGCTGTCGAGAAAGAACTTCGCACGGTAGAACTGGCACAGGTTGCGCTGGGCACCCGAGTAAAACGCCAGTCGACACGCCGCATCGAGAAAGCGCTTGCGCATCACCAGCGACTCCCTCGAATTGCAGCCCCTTTCCAGGAAGAGGCGCCACTGCTGGTGCGTCTCGTCTTCGATCTGCACCTCCCACATGTGGGTGCGACTAAAGAGGAGGAACTTGTGCGCGTCGACGTCGTGCACCGCCCCGCAAAGCTCCGACGACGGCGGAGGCGCCGCGCGAAAAGGGTCGAAGCGAATGCGCTGAATCAACTCTGTCGGTGTAGGCCGCGCATGAGCGTCGCTGCTGCTGCTGGTGTCCGCGACTCTGTCGGCCAGACTGCGCCACGGCAATCCGGGGGGTTGATGCAGCACGACACAGCGGGTTGGGTACACAAGCAACATGTGGAAGGCGGTGGGAATCGCAGCAAGCGGGGCCGTTGCAGGCGGCAGAAGGGCTTTGTCAAGGTGAAGATCGGAAGCGGCCTGGCCTTCTTCCACGACGCGTGCCAAGTCGATGGTGTGTTCAGCGGCGTTTGCGGATGTGCTGCCTCCCTCTTCGTGCGTGTCGCTCCCGCTGGGCCGACCCAGACCGCACCCATCGCTGAAGAGGAGCCGCTCGTTTTCGTCGTCCATGTCGCCGGCGACGGGGCGGCTGAAAACGCCATGCACCACACCTGTCGCACTGTTCCACATGAAAGACTGCAGTGCCGCGCTCGGCGACGGCCGGTACACGCGCACCTGACCGTTCGCCTCGGCGGTGGAGGCGGTCCCGGCGTAGAGGGGCACCGTGCGCGTCTGCAGCGTTGCCGCTCCAGACGCGAGGGCATTAAACATGGCGGCGGGGGTGTCGACCTCACTGCTGGACGCCATGTGCAGGTGCGTGGTGGTAGAGAGCAGCAGCACGCAGCCGCACGGGTTGACTCGTTCAAAGAGCACGGTGCGGGTGGGGAGTGCGGGTGCGACAGGGGACGGCAGCGTCCACGCGACGGTCGCCGTGATTCTGAGTCGAGCTGGACTGCTGGTGCTCGTCCGTACACGCACGGCAAACACGGCGTTGCCTTTGTTGATGCCCATTAAACAGGTCCAGTCCACCGCACGCGCAACAGAGGAGCCCGACGCAGGCGCGGGTGTCGCGCGGGTAGACACGGCTTCTCCGGCAACTTCGTCCTCTGGCAGACTTCCGAGGCTGTCGTGAGGAAGCCAGGCAACACACTCTCCTACGACAACCTCCTGCGTGCCTTGAATGAACGCACCGAGCATGTTTGCGCCTTGCAGCTGCGTGGAGGCCGACGTGCGTGCGTCGTAGGTGTCGTGCGCGTAGACCTCGCCATCGGAGGCGGTCGTCAGCACGTGGCTACCAGAGGGGTGCAGGAATACTCTGTGGGGGTTGCGCACCAGGGCTCGTTGTAAGAGACGATCTTCCTCCATGTCTCGCAGTTCAAGGCGACCGCTGCGGCGCAGCAGGGCCAGCACGCCGCTCTGACAGTCGATGTCTTCGATAAGGTCTTTCGAGTCGTCCAGCGGGTAGGTGGTGAGCTCAACTCGAGGCGAAACAGGATCGTGAAGGCCCGCACTGTGCCCCCTCAAGTCCACCGAAGCAGCGTGTGCCATGAGACAAACAAACAAAAAAGAGATGAATAATGGTTGCTCTGCGAACGTGCAGCGCGTCAGTTGATGACGCTCGTCGAAGCGACGGCTTGACGGTGCGCTCAGTACCGTCGTTTTCGGCAACGGTAACAAGCAGAATGAGAAACAAAGCCCAAGAGTCCACAATCCTAAAAAAAAACAAGGCAAAGCACCAAACAATCGCCGTGAAAACACCCACACTAGCAGTAACACGAAGAGAGAAAAAAGAAGGAGGAAGAGAGAGGTGCAAAGAGAGTCTATCTGCGAAATATCGCAAACTTAAGCATAAGTAGGCAAGAAAATTGCAAAAAAAAAAAACAACAACACGCATTTGCACTAAACATAGAGACAGTCACTGTGGCTGAGTAACGTTCATCAGCGAAGTCAGACAAACGACAAGAACACCTTTTTGTATTGAGGTACGAACAATAGCGTTCCTCAACAGACCACTGTGTAGACCGCAATAGAATTTACACCGATAAAAGCACCAGTTCTCGGAGAGAGAAAAAGGAGAACAAACAAGATCGAATCACAAAGGGCAGGACGCCCTTGCGTTGAATTCCACTCTCGGAGAGTTGATGCGCCCTGCCGCCCACAAAAAGGGGGCGGAGGGTCTCAATGAACTCCTTCGCCGTCGGATGTGCACGTACACACACACACACACCCACACACACACAGCAGTGGCGGTCTTCAGACCTGTTGAGTTTTGTTTTGGCTCGAAATGTGCGCTCATAGCCTCGCTCGCGCACAACATGGTTGTTTTTGCATCAGGACGACCACCACCGGTGCAGCAGCAAGCAGCAAGCAGCAACAGCACACACACACACACACACACACACACACACGCGCGCGCGGACACACACATACAGGCTGTCAGCCGAAAGGTGATTTGTATGTATATCTTATCATGCGTCAGTCAAACTGTTTGGACCAACATAGACGAGTACATCACGCAGCAGCAGCAGTGGCACGCGCGGTGGCCGCACACACACCCACATTCTGACCCACAGACACGGCACCATCCAAGAAGAGTACACACAAAAAAGCGGTGAGGGCGCCCCTCCGCACGCGCCTCTACACGCACTCGCACGGCGG